ATCGTAAACCAGATTTACGTTCAGACGGTCGGACCTCGTACGCTTTACACTTATACACATGCACGCGACGATTGAACAAAACGGAATTCATTAAAACAGACGAATAATTAAGGGCTGGATTATTATTCGTCTCTTTTTATACGCACGCGCACACATCGTATAATTTTATATTCGTAGTATATGTTTATGATGCACATCCGAAGTGGAAATTCGTAAAAAACAAACAGTAATAAAACACACATAATAAAAATCACAACGACTGTAAACCATAATAATATTGTTATAACACTCGCGCACGTTTGATGTACCTACGCAAGAGTTGAAGTTTTCGAAAACTAACGCATCAGCGCCGGGGCACACATGATGGCAACGATAATCACTGGAAAATAATTGTAACATTATACGTGTCGCGTATTCGACGGTGTGATTTTGTTTCACGTATCGAATAATCTGACACAGTAATATTGCACACGCGAAGACGCAGACCGCAGTTTTGCGGACGAAATTCGTCAAATCTCAAAAACCTCGACGATCCAATCCCGTCCATCGATGACATTGATCAATCGTACCACATACGCGCGAGTATGTTTATTTCGCGCGCGATGCGCACACAATATTATAATATTATTATTTATAATTGCAACACACAATTTTTTGTACACACGATGTTCGTTCGGGCACTATTATATTTATTAATTTATTTATTTATCTTTATTAACGGGCAGATCCCTAAAAAACAATTTGAACCGTACTAAAATGTAAACAATTAATACAAATAACGCGCGTTACATATTACATTACAGTGAATTGTACGTGACAAACGGCTCGTTGCGAGAGGTATGATCATCGCGACGCGTTTTGTTAACATATAATTTTTAAACGTATGAACGTTTCCCGTTGGAAATGAAAAAAAAAAAATTCCAAAATCCGTACGCGTCGGAGAATCCATAATGGTTGGCAAACGAGTCGTCTTAGTCGTCGTCGTCGTCTTCGATGTATCACATGCACAACAATAATTATATACACGTGTACTGTACGCGCGTGCGTGCGCTTACGAACAATACGCACACATATATGTAGGAATTCCGTTAAAACCACACACACACACACATACACGTGATTATACAAACAATCGGCGAAAAATAGTGTTTCATACGAGAGGTATCATCACGTATGAATTGTATGATGCGCGCACCGTCATCGAATCGCGTCACAATGCCAAAAACTTGGCTTCCGATCGGTTTCACTGCAACAGTACAACGCGTTATTTCGCATCGTGTATTTAGTATTGTTTTCGTGTATTGTCTGTACGCACGTATGTATGGATAAAAAACGATGCCTCGGGTGGTTGTTTCTCTCTCTCTCTCTCTCTCTCTCTCTTTCTTTCCGAAGTGACGAGTTGTGCGGTACATTACCGCATGCGTGTGCATACGCGTATATAACACTGTGCTTGTGCATGTGTCTGTATATATTATACGTGACGTGTTCACGTCGGTTAGACGGTCATAGACCGTTTTGTCTTGTCCAGGGTCGAGGACCTCTCCGACGACTTCTCCGACTCCGTCCGACAAACCGACCGATCGTCGACGACGACGTCTACCGATACGACATACTCGTGCGTGTGTGTGTGTATGTGTGTATGTTTGTATGTATGCGTGTGTTTGTGTGTGCGTATACAAGTATACCTACACGAGTCGCACCGCGTTCGGCTCGAGGCACTCGGATCGTAGCGGGAAATGGAACAAACGAGAGAAGCGCACGGGTTAGACGCGTTTCCTTAAGTCATCGACGCGCCGGCGTATTATCTGCATAATATCATAACATTCAAGAGCACGTCCGCATAGATAATCGCGAGATAATCCGAGTTCGCGATGATGATAATAATTACCGTACGGTCGTAGGGGCACGGTGACGAGGCGTTGGCGTATAATTTTTAGCGAATTTGTTTTTTTCTTTTTCTATCCCGGCCGATAACGCAGTCGTCTATTATTCCGCGACTTTCTCCGCTCTGACTCATCCCGCAAAGTAGACAAACTTCTATAGATACGAGTATACGTGTTATACACGCTACACCGCAGCCTCGTATACAATATTTCACAACAGTTAGCGTACGTCACTAGTAGAGTCGCAACGGAATTGATATAAAACCACTTTCGACCAAATTAATATTTTAAATGTTTTACGCAAACTTTTGAAGTAAAACCAATACCGAGCTTCTATCACAAAACACCTCAAATCTATGAATTAGTTTTTTTTGTACGCATATATTCAATCCATAATATTGTATACTAATAATATGCTTAATATGTTTAAGAGGACTTCTTATCCACACTTGACGACGTATAACATGACGAATTTTCTCTCTGTTGAATCCATTTTGTGTTGGTAACTTTAATATTAGAACAAATTGAACGATTAGCAAAATGAAAGCGTACAACATTACCAATGCGGTAACATAAGTGTACCTTGTGATATTTCAATTTATAAACGATTTATGGTCATGTAAAATATTACGATTAAAAATACTTCATAACTCGTTAAAAACTTATAGACCGTATAAAATCAAGTCATCGCATAGACAATATTCTTCCTTTTAATTTGAACAATAGGAAAGCTTACTCTGACGTTTAAGAACAATAAATCGGTTTTCTCAAACTCAGACTTGCTACGTTACAAATTTGTAAGACAAAGACAACACAATATGCGGACGTAGCGTGCTCTTAAATTTCAATGAAAATAACCGAAAAAATTATATATTCTTGTACGCGTATGATATTTATTTGCGTATGTTTAATATAATACGATACATAACGATTGGAGACAAAATTTTAGATATTTTAAAATTAAATAAATAACTGCACAACAAATACAAGAACGTAGACGGTTAAGTAGTAGAAACGATCACCAATCGTTTTCTCGAATCACGAAATGAACTAACACTTAAGTGTTATAATATATTCGCCAAGGAACTACCAAAAGTATACGTATGCGCACGTAACGTTACGTTTAAAACAATTGGCATCGTAATCGTACGGCATACGCCCCCCGTTCGATATGAATATCGTAAAATATATAATTCGTGGTACCGATCGGCACACTCGTTGTTTCATAGCCAATCGTTAGATTCCGAGAAATTTCAATGATGCACCCAGGGGTGGACTGATATTAGGAAAAAAATTATCCGCAAAAAAAGTTTCGGAAAAAAGGTCCCCGAAAAAAAGTCTCCAAATTAATATTAATTAGTAATATAATAATAATATAATATCTTAAACATCTATAATAATATTATTTAAAAAATATAAGAGTGATATTAAATAACTCTTTCTTATATTTTGACCTATTTGCTTTACAAAATTAGGAATATCTGCAAATTTGTCCTCATCAAAATGCTTACATAAAATGTTCGGAATTTAATACGAAACTGAATACGTATGAATACGTATACCTTATCTACAGATAAAATTTATCAACCAAATTTATTTTATAAATAAAATAAAAAGGATAATGGAAATATCGTTTTATACATACTGTAACGAGAGACTTTTTTTTCGAAGGACCTTTTTACCGGGGACTTTTTCACCGGAGACTTCTCCGAAACTTTTTTTCCGGGGACTTTTTTTTCCTTTTATCGGACTGGCAGGACGGTTAGAAGGCGATATATATCCAGGTCCTCCAGAAATTTTATTTTTGGGCTTTAAGTTAAATTAGTTTAGGTTAGTTATATCACAAATTAACTAACACCCATCCGGGCTTTCTGGTCTACAGTCAGCTTCTGGATGTACCCATCGATAAGTAACATATTGACGCTATGCTATGCATCATGCTCAAAATTGTTATAATATGCTGGTGGACAGGCACCGACTACGTGAGGTGTCTGGGGCAAAATTAACAAATCAAATACTATGTAATAAATAATTAAAAAAAAAAACGTCTAAACTTCGGTCGAGGGTTCAATCGCTGCAAACATCGTGTTGATGTATTACGATAATTAGAATCCAATTCAACCCGCGTCGCTCGTTCGACGTGTTCAATGTCTCGAAACCGTCAATTATAAACGGCCGTACGCGCGTAGATGGTGCTGGTCGAAAAATACCACATGAATTGAACGGGTAGCCAGGGACCACGTACGCGCAAACGAAGTGTCAAAAAAAAAAAAAAAACACTGCGCGTCGCAGTTTTATTCGTAAAAACGAAATCGTGCTCAATTCAGACTCGTCGACACTGCTAACCGTGCACGTACGTACTCGACCACCGACGGTCGATCCGATTAGTTTATGAAAACGCAAAGCAATAATTACGCACGGAATAATTAGAACTAAATAATTAGGGCTCGCGACCTATGAAAAAAAAAACAAGCCGAACGCGTGACGCGCGCAACGGAACACCGCGTTTACGTCGTATCGTAATTACGACGATTATTGTTGTACGCGCGCGCAGTAATAATAATGTCGTGCAAGCGAAACGTGTCCGGACCGTGTCTGGGATGTACGGTGCCACGTGATGGCGTCGCCCCGGAACGGTCCGATTCGATTACACGGTTAACCGATCGACCGACGGCGACGTTACACACGTAGGGAAGCAAACAGGCTTTTGTAACAAGTCCCACTGAATGTCGGTTTCGATTGTCTCCGCTCGGTACAATAGCGGCGCCTGCCAAGTGATACCCTTGCACGGAAACACAAATACAATAATACGATCGTTCACGAGGGACGCTGAGTTATAGGTATATGGCTATTATATCGATACACACGCGGACACGGCCCACCACCGAAGTAGGTAAATCCCCAGACCCGACTGTGTACAGCAATGGGTTTTCGGAATGTCATTTGATCCTGTCTGATAACCCTAATGGGTTGTATTTTCAGGTGCTGTTAGTTATCGGTTTATTATAACATTATATTCTATGGACGATAATAGTATACTATCGTGTATAAAATATATATACGGAGAATTAGGAGCCTACCGCAAGTGATAGGATAAGAATAAAGAATAAATTGTACCTGTATGTATCCTTTGGTGCGCTTTTAGGTGAGAGCTTTTTGTGTATCCTTTGTTGCAACCTAAAATCAAACCAACGACGATATTAGTTGAGAATCGAGAGTATTCTATAGTCAATATTGCGTGTATGCAGTGCATCGCGAACTATTGATGAACCATCCAAGCAAAGAAACGATCGATTATAATGATACGAAATGGTTTTTGCGTGATGTTTAAAATACGTTTTATCGTGTTTTAATTTACCACCGAAATTGCAATGGTGCGTCCGTCTCCTTTCCAAGTCCGGATTGTTCCTTCTGTTAAACTTCATTGTCCTCTGAATGGTGTTACGAGGCGCAGGATACGGTGGCGGTGGCGTCCGACGTTTTCCGGGCGAATCGGGCTCGGAGATAGGAGGCGTCATAGGAGCCACTCGCGGGAAGTAACCATGGTGGTGGTGGTGCTGTTGGTGATGATGGTCGTGGTGATGATAATGAACGTGTAGGTATGATGGCGTATACAGCCCTGGGCTAGCGACCGACTGGTACTCTGGACTGTTGGCCTCCGGCGCTTCTACTTTGACGTGAGTCACCTGCAACGATTGGTCTTCAAGCGTCGAGAACATGTGAGGGTCCACCACCTCGTTCATCTCAAACCAGGGTGGAGGTTCTTGAGATTCATCCGGATGATGGCCGTTCAGACTCGAATCGACGGGTCGAGAAACTATCCCAGGTGATTCGAAAAAGTCACACATGACCGGCTCGTTTCTAGACTTGATACCATGTTGGTCTTCTACCATAAGACCTTGTAACATCGAATCAAAGTCAGGGGTCTGAAAATCAAAATCATACAATTATATCCCGTGTTATACGATAGTTGAAATATATTTCAATTTTGCCATGGTGTACGAATTAAAAATATACTTAAAGTGAACTTAAAACGCATATTTGTGTGTAATATAAATATAATATTTTAGGTTGATTAAACATGCTTTGTAAATACGTAAACTGTACCCGTATCCGTATTCACATTAAAAAAAATAACGCTAATCATATGGAAATGTCCAAGATTTCAACTCAATACGAACCGGTACGTAAACGAATAACATTATTTTTAGAAATTAAACGTATCATTAATTATTATGATTATTATTTAATTATAAGGATATATATATATATATTTGATTCGTTTTATATATTACATCGTGGAAACACGTGCGACTCTAAAATATTTATTGCCGTACTCGATATGAAATAGCATAATATATATTACCAAATGTATTAATTGGGAGATAAAAATCGTTCGATAATTTTATAGTGGTAGTAATAAAACTGTGTACATTAAACTAATTGTTATTGACCGTTAACCGTATTAAATTCAAATTAGTTTGTGGAAAACTGTATATTATTGAAACTCATTATGATCGTTGGGCCGAGCGAACGGTGTAACTGGCGTTTAAGTCTCCGCACCGAATCCTTGTGACGTTTATTTTTATTATAATATATACTACAGTATATTATATAATAATTATATTATAATCTCTCTGAACAAATAATCAAATTAAACGCCGTATTTCGTTTACATTAGATCTATACAAATTGTATACGTTTTTACGAATGAATATATATTATAGAGTAGGTACCTAATACGTTTATAACGTCTAAACTCTACAAGAAAACCACTCCATCGGGTGCGTATGTATAAACCTACTGCGGGTTTCGTTGCGTTCGGTTTTTGTAGGACTATAAGGTGATAAACCGAAACTCTGTGACGTGTACACATACACACACACAAACACACACACACTCGCGCGAGCTGCGCGAACGCGGTACGTGTTAAAATAGAAAAACACGGAAATGGTTTTTGGCAACGCATAGGTCGGATACATAATACACCTGACGACGGCGACGACCGACCGGATCGTAGTCGAGCGTGGGCCGCGTCTTAATGGGCTCCGGATATGTTTATGGCGACTGCAGGAGAACCGAGACACATGGTCGTAAATACAACTCGGTATTTCGGCAATCTGAAAAGCCGGACGGGGTATACCCGTGTACCTTGTACATTTCTTTCTTTTTTTTTTCTATTAATCACGAGTCCGCGATGAATACGAGAATAACATACGGTCGACCGAAAATTTACACGGCACACCGCCGCCGCGTTTAATGTTTATATAATATCATCGTATATTACGTGCATAATATCATACGTATTATAATAGGCCAACCTGATGCTACTCATTCAGACGTCGGATCCAAGGGGAACGCGTTGTTCGAAGGAAAATAACTAAGCGAACCTTTACGATCACGCGTGCACAATCACAGCACAATATGTATTTGTTTATTTAAAGTCCTAACGCCCTTTGTCGTACGATTTATATAACAATTATAGTATTCATATTCTATAATTATTAAAATGCGCTTAGGTCAGGTTTGGTTGTACACAGCACACATAGACCTAATGATTTAAAATACAATAATTATTACAATAATTCATTTAAATGAAAGATTTATTAAAAGTGCTGCGTTATTTTAACTAATAGGTGCACATTGATTTATGTAAATGAACGACTAGATATTTAAAATCAGTTTGGAGACTCAACGACTTTGCAAACCATAACAACCCATTCGTAATTGTATGTCTGTGTGTGTGTGTCTAAGTAAAAGTTAATTATAATTTATTTTATATACGCCACGGCAGTATAAGTTAAGCTTCACGTGACAGTAAAATATAAAAGGAGCCAGAAGATATTTTGGGGCTAAGTGACACGGAGTGCACTACAAGAAACCTACCGTTAAACAATCGACTGCATAAGCACTAGTAATGAAATATTTAATTTATAAATTTCGGTACAAGCAACATTATCGAACATATACGTTATGAAAGTAAATGCCAAGCTTCTGTTTTAAATTATTTAAACGACATTAATGAAAAATTAAGTTCATTAAGTGATAAACACATGGCATTTGGTCCCTGTTTTTATCGCTCATCACCTTTTATAATTTTGATAATATGAAATATATTTGATGCAATACTTAGCGTTACATATAATTATAGTTTTATTTTTGCCATAATATTATACTAATCTTAACAATTATGAAATTTTATAAATACTTTAATATTTTAACCATAATATCCGGAAAAATATCAAAAGAATATTTTAAAACGCACTCCAATAATAACAGTATGCCTGATTATCGACCAATTGTAAAGAATATAATAAATAATAAAACAAAAGTAAAATAATTATTGTAGTTTTATCTAATGACCATTATAACATAAAATATATCTCATATTATCAACATTACCAAAATTTATAAATTAAATACTATTATCCGTTTAATAAATGGTCAAAAGAACACTTGTATAATCGAATTATTTAACTGTTTGATATCCAGTAGTAAATACAATGTGTCGCTTAGTTCATGTTTTCTTTTACTAATCCATATAAGAACAATAAGAAATATTGTTTTTCTTTTTTTTTTATTCTGAAAAGTAGCAAAATTGTCGCTATTACAATATGTTAAAGGTATATATACCTAAAATCTGTATTGAACGCAGTTGGCTATTCCATTTTTACGATTTCATTATATTGTTAACGTTTTATGATAACCATGATATGTTATAACTTATATTTGCACGCTAATCGACAAAATAATAATGTAAAATTCAAATTCATTTCATATCCACGAACTAAGGGTGATTCTAGGGGGATGGGTTCATGAGATCAGCTGACCCGCAGTTAATATTTGTTGATAAAATGGGCCTCTTAAAGACTTCTTATACTTTTATAGTGTGGCGACTATAGGTTGAAGTAAATACTAGACTGAGGAAAATTTCCCAGTTTTCCTCCCCCAATAATACCACTGATTTAATTGTACAGTGCAGCAAGAGAAATCTCGATGCCGGACTCCATCTAAGACAGAATCCTCCATAAAATAAAATAAATTTTTCTGTTCATATTGGACATTTTTAATTGTAATTAAATTAAATAAAACTTGATCATTTTATGAACACTTTTGACTTCATTCCACCCTTATATTTTTATTTTTAAAATTAATATATACTTTTGAAATCGGACGAAGACTTTCGAATCGCCCTGTAAACACGCGTATAACGAGTATATGTGACATCTATGTCGTTGAGCTCAAGGCTTCCGTAGCCTTGTGCAAATAACGAACGTTGTAATATACGTTTTCGGATTATGTAGCGTAATAATGCGTCTCAAGCATCACTCTCGATGTACGGACACCCACTTGTAAAGCGGTGACGGAAACGCGACGTCAACTCGAAAAAATTAATGTATATTCTATACCACGTCAGTCACGACTATAAATAAACACGCTCGTACCTATATGCATGTATATATTTGTTGTGTACATTATACGAGCACAATAAACCACCTATATAATCATAGGCTAGTAGTATCCGACACAATTTGATATGTTTCAATTAAAGAAACGTGTCGCGCGACGCGTTCAATTTTCTGTGTAAAATGTGCATGCACGTTTGCGTTGGTACACAGGATTGAACACGAGAACGAACGCGTGTAGAGAACGTAATCGTTTTGCAAATAAATTGTTATTACTTATTTTTCAAAAAGAGAAAAAATAATGTGTAACAACAATTTGCGCGTGAAAATAGGAATACAAATAACATGAAAAAATTGACGTCGAGTATTATAATATAAATAATACGTGCGAGCATATAAACAAAACCGTGTTCATACGTATGTATGTGTGTGTATGTGTGTGTGTGTGTGTGTGTAAAACGTATACTTATACTTGTTATAATATATCTTTCGTCATTATCGGTACATAATTGCATAAAGGTTGTAGTATTTTTCTATTTATTGTGTTTGCTTTGCTTAGTGCGTTTACTCGTACACGCGAGTTAATAATTCTATTTGATCAAGAACGAACACGTAATCGGGTACCGTGTAATAGTGAGTACCTACAGTGCGCACACGAGATACTCGTCGTGCAGAGCGCCGTAGTACTCGACGTTCTAGCCGATAAATCTATCGAACGCGCAGGTACACTGCTAAAACTACTTGATAAGAAACGACTGAGTAATTTATCTAGCGCATATCATTTTTTTTTCCTTTTTTACGTCGCAGTTTTTTAAAGTCTTTACAATTTCAATCACTAGTACGTCATTTGTTGCGGCAGCGCAATGCGAATAAACAACGAACACAACGAAACTTCGCATAACAGACACCTTTGAACAGTGGACACCTCCAAATTAATCAGGAGCGGAGATATTTTGATTACATTTCTGTAAGAAAATCTCTAAAGACGGGACACAGAGAATTACGTTTTTATGACATTTTACATTTTGAAATCGATAATTTTTTCATCGTAAATTAAGAACAATTGTGGAGTGCCTAGATAGAAGTCTCAAACTATCGAGTTATATTTTATTACATAGATCATTATACAGTATAGTATATCTTATCTTGCCCATAACACTTAACTCTACAAATAGGAAGTCTACGAGAATTATCGGTGACAGTAAAGGGCATACGTAAACACATTTCATCTATCGAGATAAAGAATATTTAATTTTTAATTTTTCTCCAATTCGAACTAGAAAATACGTTGACATACAAATTGAATACATTTCATGCTGGTAGACAAGCTGAAGTAACTGATTTTTTTCATAGATTTTTTTTATGATAAAATTATTTTATATTAATTTATAACTATAATTTAGTTAAATAAAATATCTCCTTCATAATAACTGATACCTCTGATTGGCGCGCAAGATTAAAAAGATCAATAGTATCCGGTGTTTAGTGGTCTTACTGTATTGTACTTAAGCTTTTAGTTA